GAATGTGATTTGTGTGGTGCATATGTCATTATAAATGTGGGAATATTTTAGAATTAAAAAGATTTGTGTTGACTACTTAGTTTGAAAATAATTTTATTTTTGTAGACTAGTTGTCTCTTCATAATTGTTGATAATCAGGTAGTAATGAATAGAAACTTTATTGAAGTTTTGATCTTTTCAAAAATGTTCACATAGATCCTTCGATGAGAACCCAATCGTTTCTAGATCATTGAGTTCTTATTGAGTTCATAATATACTACATATAAAATTTGAATGAAGTTATAGATTATTTCTATTTTAACATACAATGTAATATCAATCTTATCTAAATAATAATGATAACAAAACTTGGTAGAAGTTGTAACGGTAAATAAATCCCCATAATCAATAATTCTGTAATTTTTCGACATTTGATGCTGATCACATTAGTTTCAAACTCACCTGAAACCCCTCTGAGGCTACTGCCGGTCCCGAAGCCGGATAAAGGAGGACGGTTAAACATGAGATTAGCGACTTCATCCTGTAGAAAACTAATTCGCTAAAAAACGCTAACCGGAAAAAAATAATCCAAACCATTTAAACTCTGCCCTGGGAGTTAGAAGGTCTTCATTTAGAGGAGTAATGACACCTCATGATGAAAACCGAGTTCCTTCGGAAGTCACGAGGCTGATGCCAGAGCGACCATTAATTTAGGTACATGGAATTCTCGTACAATGTGGGAGACTGTGAGAGTCATCCACATTGCTGCAGAACATTAATTCTAATGGACTCACCTAGCTGAAGGCGCTTGATTATGAATCCGTGGAAACACCATGTTCAACTTCTCCTGAGACCGCTAACCAGTTTAGATCAGTCAGTCGATCCTCAATATAATCGAAAGCCTATCAAATACATCTTCGAACCTCCTCGCTTCTGTCTTTTGATTTTACTTGGTGAGTGCGCTTCATATTAGAACGTGTTACTGATTAAAGCGTTGTCAAACTAAAATACTTGTAGCATCTTCAAAGTATTTTTTTATTAAACAGAATACAATGGTCACAAATAATACCAGCGATTGACCAGTAAAACCAAAACAACAACGACAATAGATTATGGGGGAAAAAGTCACAAATGCAAAGTGACAAGATGTCGTACACATCTAAACAACAATCAATCTATATATTCGGGCTAAAAAAAAGAAAGAAGAAGAATCCACAGCCAAAGTCAAAGTTAAATATAAACACTATAAGATAGATGAATATTTTATGCTTATAAGAGATATGAAAATAAATTACTTTATTCATTCTGACATTTGAAAATCTTTCAACCAGATTGAAATCACAGATTATGAAGAAAAAATCAACAATAATATAAGTCAATTAAATCTAGACCACCATGAAAAACCTGAAAGCACTGGACAGCTGTTAAATTCTATTGCGGGACTTCTCGGCAGTGCGCATCCACGATCCCGCCTCATGAAATTCGAACCCAGGACCTTGTTGTGTCTTTATGACCTGCTAGTTATCACGTAGTTTATTCACTAATCAAAATACGACTTATTCGGCCTTGTACTGTACTAAACTAATGACGTTCGTTCAGTCTGATCAGCCTAGCGTTCTATTGGTCCGTTGCTCGCCTAGCCCGTCTAGCTGAGTCCAGAATGCCAACAACAGCCTCTACTATGCGAATAATTTATTACAGACATATTGGGTTTATATACCAAACAAACAGACCGCAATGCACCATAAAATAGGAAATAACATTCATACGCAATAAAGTTAAAAAGTGGCTGCGAACGAGGGAGGCAGTAGTCAATAAAATGAACATAGTTAAAGAACAGTAAACCATACATTAATAATATATAGGTCAAAATAAAGCTTATAACAAGGGGAACACAGATATATATAATCTAGCTAATGAATACTTATACAATAAGAATATATAGATAATATTAGTCCATTGATATAGGTCTCCGAAGATCCCCGTAATTTAATCTTCACTATGATATAACATACCTATCGGTCTCGCGCGCGAACGCCTAACCTGTAGACCACTGAGTCGGCCGGCATCCAACGGTGTTAATGTGCAACTTCAACTAATCCACGAAATCGTGCCAACAACCACCATTGTCTGTGGTGAGTTTTTATCTCACAACAGACCGGGTTGAACTCCACTGGTCAGTTCTTCACACTAGAACTCCAAAAAATAACTCTTGAAGCCAGTCACTAGTGAACATATGTTGATTAGTATAGGAAGAGTTTTTCTAAATAATATAGCAATTTTAATAGTTGAAATTATGAGTCAATTGAAGCTAGACTACCACAGCCGAGAGTAGCGAGAGTCCGCTCTCCCTCTCGAAATGCTCTCACATGGCCACGCGTATATATCCTCTACCAGAAAAGTCCTACTCATTGCCTTCTCGTGGTGGCGGTATTGTTTACGAAATTGACAGGACGAAAAGCGAATGTCCGGCGCTTTAACCGGGTTGGTGGACATGGAGAGTCCACATAGGGGAGTTGGAAAACCCTCATTCCAAACCAATAGTGCACATGGGCTTCAGTATCCTGAAGGAACAAATGGCGTATGAACCACTTGTTGGTCACCGGCTTCCATGGGACTGCATCTCCTCACGATGATCCACTGACTTGTGGATCTGACCTTTAGGTCAAAGGCTCGGGGTGTTGCTCCCTAAGCAAACCACCTGTTTCGGCTTGAGCACCCGAGCAGTATCACAGCCCTCACACATATCGAATGAGATTTGTGTGGCGCATATGTATTTGGTGCCTCCTTGTACCAATATTTATGTGTTACAATAAAAAATATTTTGTATATTATAATAATGTAATTTATTAGACTATTAAAAAGTTTTTAGTTTATGGTATACCATAAACTGGTTAACTGTATTGACAGAGTTGTATTTGTTTCTGTACTGCTATTAATTTTTATTGTCATATATTATTTTGTAAATATTCTTCTTTCATTTAACAGAAAATGTCCCATGTTTATTATAACAGATATATTGCAGAAAGAAGTGGTATCCATGACATGCATTTTGTCCCGTTTGAAGTTCGTTAGAATGATTCGAACCCTCTTGAATACTAATGTAAATATCATACTCATTGAATAGGTTAGTGTTTATTGGGACACGGTAACTCAGTAGATAATGCTTTGGAGTTGGCATCAAGGTTAATGGGTTTCAGTTTTAATATGAATAACCATAATAGAATACAGATATAAACAACTGAAGAGACAGTCAGCTCAAGGTGTTCAAATGCCAACTAAAATTAATTGAAGTTATCAATATAGGGTTGTGGAGATTACAAAGTTCTTAATTGAGTTTCGTTCTTTGAGCTGAATGGTTTGGTCGTGGAGCTTTCATCGTTCTTCTGAATGAGATCATCAGCGAAAACTTCAAATAGAAGTAAAGTGTTCGACTTTCTCCACGTGTAGCTCATAGCTTGCACTGTAGACCTCAATATAGAACAATGACAGGTTTATGATGAACAAGAACCAATCAACATCGAGGGCAAGCTGTGAACCACATATGTTGAAATTCGAACAATTCGCTTCTACTTAAGGTTTGTGCTGAAGATGTCGTTCAGAAGAACAATGAAACGTCAACGACCAAACCATGCAGCTCAAAGAACGAAACCCCATCAAAATCATCCGCCTGAGATACAAATCTTTGCCACCGTTATTAAGTTTTTGATTGAGATCATGAACCGATTGATGTTAGACCACCATTGAAAACCTGAAAGCACTAGAAGGCCGTTTCGTCCCATTGTGGGACTCCTCAGTAACGCGCGTCCATGATCCCGCTGACATGATTCGAATCCAAGGCCTTCCGTCTCACACACGAACACTCAACCTCTACATTTCGCGAGCGGAATCGTGCATGCGCACTGCTGAGCAGTTCCAGAATTGAAGTTAGCCCTAAATATCAACAAATGAATAATCTAAACGCTTTTTGATAACAATCCGATTCCCCTATGTTTCGTTCTTCACTAATTTTGATATTATTATTATTATTCATAATTTGAGAATTATTCATTATGAATACACCAAGTGGGCTAATGATACTTCAAACAGTTAATCAAGTATGATATTTAAAACCATAAATGAAGACTTAACTATTAAGCTATAAACAATTAGTTCATAATTTATAATGTTAAACATATGAAATGTCCGTTATATGCTTACCTGGTGTTGTTTTACTTATATCTTCCCACTGTTATTTAGGACTGTAATTGATCAGTCTCATGTTGGCATATCTGCATTGCCTCGATATTGTCTTAATTCACAAGCTTCTTAAACAAAGATGGATAGTGGCTAGCAGTGGAATCTAGGACGCGCATTTCCTCCTGGATTCCACTGCTAGCCACAAACCATCTTTGCTTCGTTATATGATCTTATTTTAAACAATCATTTAACTAGATGTGACCGAATGATACACAGTACCTTGGTAGATGATAATATGATATTTAGTTGATAGTTTAAAGTTTGGTTGGAATTACATTGAATGGATTATTTACAATGTATTACCATTTTCTAAAAAGACATAAATCATAATATCCATGCCGAAAGTATCATTTCGATTGGTTTGAAGTATCTAATAACTAGAAAGGTCTTATCTCTATTAGAATAATGGTAATATTCTTACTTACTTACTTACTTACTTACTTACGCCTGTTACTCCTAATGGAGCATAGGCCGCTGACCAGCATTCTCCAACCCACTCTGTCCTCGGCCTTCTTTCCTAGTTCCATCCAATTCTTGTTCATTTTTCTCATGTCTATTTCCATTTCTCGGCGTAATATTCTATCCCTTGATAAAAAACAAACAAACATCATTAGAACTTTGGAAAGTAGATATATTTATATATGGAAAAAGCTTTTCTAATCATAATGCCTTTACCATAATGTTTTATAAGGAAACAATCAGGTAAACGATGTGATTATATCACTGATAGGTCAGTCACTATTAGCATATAGATAAAGATAAAATGATAAAACTAATTGAATATGACATTTTGGCACATCATACAAAAGGGGAGTAAATTTAGGACAGAAGAAGTAAATTTGAAAACAATCTTTATAATAAATACTATGAATGAACTAGAAGAATTAAGACCTTTTATTCATGTTTAGGATAACAATTAATATATAAGAGAAGACATAGTAACAAAGTATTATCCATGGTGATTAAAATATAAAAAAAAAATAAAAAATAAAAAAAAGAACCATCTACAGCAACGATTATTATTGATTAATATATTGATCAATTTCGAATACTTGTTGAACTAATGAATTTCCATAAGTGAAAACATGAACAACTTGTACAATGATCCTTTATTTTGCACTTTTTGAGTACATGTTAACTAATTCTGAATTGATCTATGAAACATCAACTATATATAAATTCAATTTAGATGGTGGTTGGAGGTAGTAAACAGGAAACCCTGGACCCGGGTTTCGTGCTACTTGGCACTCGTCAGCAAGGTGTACCTGTAATCTTGAGGGATAGCTCAGTGGTAACGTCTCTGACTGTGAAGCTGGGTGACACGAGATCGAATCCGCCAGGGAGCATCAGTTCTCTCAAGATTACAGGTACACCTTGCTGACGAGTGCCAAGTAGCACGAAACCCGGGTCCAGGGTTTCCTGTTGACTACCTCCAACCACCATCTAATCTCAATACATAGTGCCCGCAGTGTCGAGTCACCTAGACTGGTGGCCACATTGCAACATGATCGATAGCATTCGATCTGCACTAATAAGGACTAGACAAGCATGAGATTGATCACCACCCAGTGATCAATCAATTGTGAAATTCAATTTATTTTATCTGATCTGATTTCATCCTAATGAAATATAAGATATCTGTATTGTCAGAATGGGTTTTGTGGAGAGTTTTAGAAAATTTCACAGGTTGAAATCATGAGTCAATTGAAGCTAGACCACTATGGAAAACCTGGAAGCACTGGACAGTCGTTTCGTCCTAGTATGGGACTCCTCAGCAGTGCGCATCTGTATTGATTTATTCTTATTAAGTTTATGATTAGTCTAGGATCAATATAGATAATCTGATAATGAGATGAAGTTCAACAGTAAACATTCATAAGGTATTAAGGTGAATAGTTTCAGATCTTGACTTATGTTTTATACCATAAATGTATTGAAACAAAATACATTAACCTAAAACGGTGGAGACTGTTAGACGTCCTGCTTGAATATTTAGGCTAATTGTTCTTACCATTTGGATACTTCAACAAGTTATCTGTTCTTTTCAATATCAACAACAACCTACTATAGGAGAGAAAAAACCAGATCTCAGTGGAGGAAGAAATCAGGAAGAAGTGATGGAAGTGGATAGGACACATATTGAGGAGAGCACCAAACTGTGTCACAAGGTAAGCCCTCACATGGAATTGTCAAGGCCAAATGAGGATAAGAGTAAGACCAAAGAATACATTAGTTTGAGAAATGGAGATAGATATGAGAAGAATGAACGAGAATTGAGTAGAAATAGAAAGGAATATCGAGGACAGAGTGTGTTGGAGAATGCTGGTCGGTGGCTTATGCTCCATTGGGAGTAACAGGCGTAAGCAAGTAAGTCATAAATTTTAAACAGAGATATGAAAAATATTTGTGTTTATGACTGAGATCATAAAACGATTCATCATCATCATCATCATCATCATCATCATCATCATCATCATCATCATCATCATCATCATCATCATCATCATCATCATCATCATCATCATCATCATCATCATCATCATCATCATCATCATCATCATCATCATCATCATCATCATCATCATCATCATCATCATCATCATCATCATCATCATCATCATCATCATCATCATCATCATCATCATCATCATCATCATCATCATCATCATCATCATCATCATCATCATCATCATCATCATCATCATCATCATCATCATCATCATCATCATCATCATCATCATCATCATCATCATCATCATCATCATCATCATCATCATCATCATCATCATCATCATCATCATCATCATCATCATCATCATCATCATCATCATCATCATCATCATCATCATCATCATCATCATCATCATCATCATCATCATCATCATCATCATCATCATCATCATCATCATCATCATCATCATCATCATCATCATCATCATCATCATCATCATCATCATCATCATCATCATCATCATCATCATCATCATCATCATCATCATCATCATCATCATCATCATCATCATCATCATCATCATCATCATCATCATCATCATCATCATCATCATCATCATCATCATCATCATCATCATCATCATCATCATCATCATCATCATCATCATCATCATCATCATCATCATCATCATCATCATCATCATCATCATCATCATCATCATCATCATCATCATCATCATCATCATCATCATCATCATCATCATCATCATCATCATCATCATCATCATCATCATCATCATCATCATCATCATCATCATCATCATCATCATCATCATCATCATCATCATCATCATCATCATCATCATCATCATCATCATCATCATCATCATCATCATCATCATCATCATCATCATCATCATCATCATCATCATCATCATCATCATCATCATCATCATCATCATCATCATCATCATCATCATCATCATCATCATCATCATCATCATCATCATCATCATCATCATCATCATCATCATCATCATCATCATCATCATCATCATCATCATCATCATCATCATCATCATCATCATCATCATCATCATCATCATCATCATCATCATCATCATCATCATCATCATCATCATCATCATCATCATCATCATCATCATCATCATCATCATCATCATCATCATCATCATCATCATCATCATCATCATCATCATCATCATCATCATCATCATCATCATCATCATCATCATCATCATCATCATCATTAAAACATTAACTTCAATCAACAGAACAATAAAGAAAGAAAGAAAGAAAGAAAGAAGGTATAGAAAATGAAAAAGAAGAAAAGTAGAGATACCAAACACAATAACAATCATAAAATATTTTTTTTATTAAAAAGAGGTTAAACATAAGAATCTGACTGGGAAAATCAAACAAGAAAAGAGAAGAAATGAAAATCAGTACATAACCTATTGTTTTCTATGTTTTTGTTTTGTTTTGTTTTCTTTTCTTTTTTTTCTTCATTTTTGTTTTAATTCTTTCGTATCCAATTCGTTTATGAAGAAGAAGAAGAAGAAGAACAACAACAACAAAAAAAAATAAAAGAATTAGATTATGAATATTTAATGTAAACAAGATTATTTAAAGAATAATGAACTGAATATCAATCTATCTAACTACCTATCCATCTATGTCCAACTCCTTATCATTGGACTAGTTCAAATGGTTACATTATTTAGCCTTATATATACATATTAGCCTCATTACAATTGGTCGTTGATTTGCTTTGTATTATTTCTTATGGTTTATTCATCAGTAATTCATAAGTGAATCTTTATTTTGTATTAAACACAAATTACATCATTGTTAAATAGATATGAGTTTGGTACCGATCTATCTATCTATCTATCTATCTATCTATCTATCTATCTATCTATCTATCTATCTATCTATCTATCTATCTATCTATCTATCTATCTATCTATCTATCTATCTATCTATCTATCTATCTATCTATCTATCTATCTATCTATCTATCTATCTATCTATCTATCTATCTATCTATCTATCTATCTATCTATCTATCTATCTATCTATCTATCTATCTATCTATCTATCTATCTATCTATCTATCTATCTATCTATCTATCTATCTATCTATCTATCTATCTATCTATCTATCTATCTATCTATCTATCTATCTATCTATCTATCTATCTATCTATCTATCTATCTATCTATCTATCTATCTATCTATCTATCTATCTATCTATCTATCTATCTATCTATCTATCTATCTATCTATCTATCTATCTATCTATCTATCTATCTATCTATCTATCTATCTATCTATCTATCTATCTATCTATCTATCTATCTATCTATCTATCTATCTATCTATCTATCTATCTATCTATCTATCTATCTATCTATCTATCTATCTATCTATCTATCTATCTATCTATCTATCTATCTATCTATCTATCTATCTATCTATCTATCTATCTATCTATCTATCTATCTATCTATCTATCTATCTATCTATCTATCTATCTATCTATCTATCTATCTATCTATCTATCTATCTATCTATCTATCTATCTATCTATCTATCTATCTATCTATCTATCTATCTATCTATCTATCTATCTATCTATCTATCTATCTATCTATCTATCTATCTATCTATCTATCTATCTATCTATCTATCTATCTATCTATCTATCTATCTATCTATCTATCTATCTATCTATCTATCTATCTATCTATCTATCTATCTATCTATCTATCTATCTATCTATCTATCTATCTATCTATCTATCTATCTATCTATCTATCTATCTATCTATCTATCTATCTATCTATCTATCTATCTATCTATCTATCTATCTATCTATCTATCTATCTATCTATCTATCTATCTATCTATCTATCTATCTATCTATCTATCTATCTATCTATCTATCTATCTATCTATCTATCTATCTATCTATCTATCTATCTATCTATCTATCTATCTATCTATCTATCTATCTATCTATCTATCTATCTATCTATCTATCTATCTATCTATCTATCTATCTATCTATCTATCTATCTATCTATCTATCTATCTATCTATCTATCTATCCATCTATCTATCTATCTATCTATCTATCTATCTATCTATCTATCTATCTATCTATATTTATATATATATGTATAATAGTTCATTCTCTTTTTGGGGTTTGTTTGGCCTTTCTTACATATATACATAGTTATATATGCATACACATCTATGCATTACATAAACAAGTATTATATTGTAGATGTAAATTGTTATTACTTATTGGATGAGAATCTTTAAATAAATAAATAAATAAATTAGGTCAAATCATGACACAAAGAATGTTTGATTTGTGCGTCAGCATCCTCATCGTGATGATGTTAGACTTCTGTTGTGTTGTTGCTGCTGCTGTTGTTGTTGTTTATGTTAATGGTTTTTTTTTTGTTTTCTGTTGTGTTGTTGTTGCTGTCGTTGTTTGTTTTGGTTCTTTTTTCTAGATTGTTCAATTCCTGAAATCTAAGTTAAGAAATACAAAATGAAATAGAAGAAGAAGAAGAAGAAAGAAGAAGAAGAAGGTGAATTAACTGTCATAAATCTCATTGATATAATTAATGTCTATTGTGTAATATGTAATTTATTATGAACATTAATGAACATAATGTTGATGAATATGAAAGATTGTTGAAGATATACATACATTGTAAATGTTAAAATGATTCTGACAATATTCATGTTATCAACAAGGATAGATATTTATTCTAAATTCATTTAGTGTTGTTTTACATGTATCATCCCATTGTTATTTAGAATTGTAATGGATCAGTCTTTAGTTGGCATGTGTGTATCTTGTACGGATTGCCTAGATTTAGGACGAAATACGTGTTAAATTACATTTCCAGTGCTAGCCACTATCCATTTTTGTTTAAAAAGCTTGTGATTTCAACCTATAGGCAATCCGCATCAGATGTACATATACCAATAAGAGACTGATCAATTGCAGTCCTAAATAACAAGTACAACAACACTAAGTGAATTCAAACTTCACCTCATTGAACAAGCAAGTGTCTATCAAGACTCAGTAGCTAAGTCGATATCACCATAGCATACTCGGTTTGAGTCTCAGAGTGAACAACAAGGGCGGCCTACTTGAGCATCTGGGCTACCTTTTCCTGCCATCTAGATATTTCAACAAGTTATCTATTTTTGTTTGCTTTTAATATATCATTATGTTTATCAATCTCATGAGCTATTCTGCTGCGTTTCTGAAAAGTGTGCAACCTTACGTTGTCAAAGTTACAAAGAACTCAATAAGAGCCTACGTGGTTGCTGGCAATATACAACGAAAAGAATGTACATTATTCAGATGTTCATTTACTGAACTGCTAACATCTAACTGGCGATCACTCAATATTTATCGCCAGGACCGACCAAGAAGAAATAAACGGAAACTTGTTGAAATACTTTACGCTGAGAATTCTATATTGTACCAAAAATATAATATTGAATAAAGCTGATGATAATAATAATAATAACATTATTTCTGAAATTCAGGTACTTTCGGCTGATGAGTCTCAATTAGGACGAAACGCGCATCGTGGATTCCACTGCTAGCCATTATCCATTTTAGATATTCATTCTCCTTAAAAGAAAGATCCTATTGAAATGTTGTATTAGAGAATAAATTGGTTATGATATTCAATTGACTACATAGTGTAAAATGATATCTTCTTTAACAAAACTTACTTTCTTCGTCTATTTCACTTCAATATGCTTGCATTATCATTTGTTGTTACACGGAACAGGCAGATAAATATATATTGTAAATTGGTTACCTTTATTTATATAGTGCTGTACATCACCAACGTAGATGATCTACGTCGAATAACTGGAGGTCTACTCGAGTTAAACTGGAATAATGTGACGAACCACCTAATTTCAAAGCATCAAAAGTAGACTGTCTCTTCAATGTATCAAAGTACAATGGATGCTTTGAAAACGGTTTAACACAAAGAACGTTATTATGCAAATATATTATTTAGAATGAGTACAGAGAATATAGCGTTACCACCACCGCATAGTCCAGTCCATGGTATACAATTAACTGATGCACGTTGGTTATCTTTGACCGATGATCTGTTCGATATTCAATGACTCAACTGTTGGATGATTTGGCTAGGGCTCAGTGATATTTCACTCGCCATACAATGCTATTATATCCTTTCAAGTTAGGAGAAACATAAATTGAAACGAATTTGTTTACAGAATGATTAATGAAGGCTTTCATACCTATAACTTATTTCAATCACCTATCCAATTAAAATTTATCATCAAATGAACATTGATGACAAGTAACGTTGGAAAAGATTTAATACAACTCAGATAAAGTAACCTTCACTTTCTAATAAGTAGAGTAATGAAAATGCATCAAAATCTTTTCCTTTTTTAGTATCATAGTGTTTAATCCTATGAATTTCATATTATTTAAGTTCAGCTGTCGAGTTTATTCCGGCCATGTTGAGTGATGACTTTGGTGTGGCACAACATTCCAGCTTTGAGGCGTCAATTGAATTGCTCCGTTTAGGAGAAGGTGATCTTCTATGTATGTTAGAGGTTGCTTTGAAAGTGAAACTGACAGGTTGACCACCCAGTTGTTTGTATTTTCTTCCTACTATATATAAAAGCCATATCGGAAATTACAAGATTATTGAAGCCGTTTAGAATACGTGTAGCACATGAATCAACAAAATCACTTCAGTCAGTCCTACGCAAACGAAAGAATGAAATGACAAAAGAAAAAAGACCAAACACCCTCTACAAAATAAATTGTTGGGGCTGTGTAAAACGCTATATCGAACAAAATAGATGCTCTTTCAATCGCTGCCTATATAAACATCAATTAGCGGTCAAAAGCCATGATATATCCTCGCTTATATGAATGTATGTGGACAACTATTGACACATATTCGACTGAGAAAATGTTGACATCTTGGATAGAGGGGATTCTAAAAACACCAGGGAATTTCTAGAAGCTTGTCACTCAAGTCAACCGCCAATCAACAAGCACTTTGAAATCGATCCAATATACCAATCAATCAGAAGAATTATGGACAAATATGTAACCAGGAATCAAATCAATGGGAAATACAATCAAAATAAAGAAGTAAACAATGAAAGGTTAAAGATCAATAATAGCCAATCAAGATCGAGATCGACAGGCCAAGC